ATATAAAGAAGACTGAACCAAGGACTGAACATGACCATCTAACGCCGGGGACACACCGGCCGCCGAAGCGCCGCGAAAAGGGGACCACCTTCATTCGGCGCCCTTGTTATCCTATTCTATAGACCACATGGGCCGTTGAAGCACCGCGAAGCGCCGCCATGCAACGATCGTTTCGGCGTCTGCTCTATTTTTTTCGCGAGCCACGGGTGAACCGCGTCAATCCTGGCAGGAAGTCAAACCTAGACATAAGAGGCAGGCCAGTAAATTTAACAAAATAAAGCATTTCAAAATACAATTCCGCGATAGTCAAATGTGTTCGTAAACAGACACTGCATAAAAACCACACACACACACACACACACACACACACACACACACACACACACACACACACACACACACACACACACACACACACACACACACACACACACACACACACACAGCAAACTTGTGTGTGTGACCACGTGAAGGGGGTGTGGTTTGGGGTGTCTTTCAACCGGAGCAAACAGGACAGAGAGGCGGAAAGTCGTAGGCCAGCTATTAACAACTGGTTCACACCATAGGTTCACACACACACGTGCAAACACACACGTGCAAACAGCAAGGGGGAGGGGGGTGTCAAGGAAAAGAGCAGAGAAAAGGCGGAGAGGAAATGGAGGACACCAACAAGTGGTTAAAAGAAAAACTATGAGGCGCACCTCGACCGGAGCGGAGAAACAAGCGTCTGGCCTGAACTGAGGAGCAGCGAGCAGCGGCCGAATTTCGCTTCGCCTCCCGGCGCTTCGGCGGCCGGTGTGTCCCCGGCCTAAGGCAGAAGTTCTCAACCCTGGTCCTGAGCTCCCCCCTGTCCTGAGAGGGTTTTCAGTATGTCTGCTTCAGCACTACTGATTTACATATTTGCACTGCCTTCTCAGCATGACATCACTTTCTGCAGAAGCCCGTTAGTCACTAGTTATACGCTACCAGAGTCTTACTTTACCCAAGGAGGTAGGGCTGGGCAATATAGAAAAAAATCTTACCACGATGTTCATTTTCACATGAAAGATTTATTTTAATCTAATATCTTTAAGAAAAGAACAGAATTAATCAAACAGGCACTGGAATATTAATTCTTAAAATGTCTCTGCTTGTTTTTAATAAAATTTGTTTAAGAATATGCAATAAAGAAAGAAATAAGACAGAAAACCAAAACAATGTTTTAGCCGTGAAATTTTAGGCAGTTTTAAAAGAAAAAATCAAAACAATGAAATAGACACTGTCGTTGCTCAGAAAGAAAATCTATTTAAATTCTTGTCTTCTCATATGTACAGAGGGACGGGAGGAAGGTTTGCTTCATAGGCGAGCGGCTCTGAGGGGCCGTGGCCTGGCCAGAGACTCGCTGCCTTTATAGCCCACAGGAGGTGCAGCTGGCATAGTGGTGTACCGTAGATGATTGGAGTTTTAACCTGAAGAGAGCGCCACACTGATGGTTTTAGACAGAATCATTACATTTTAAATGATACCCACACGTCTAAAACAGTATTAGACACTCATTTATACAGTTTATCAGCAAAAACACACTTATATTGGGGTAAGTTGTTCTTTAAGTCTGAGGTGTGGCAGCAGGGAAACACCTAAAACATGAAGGACAGGCAGGCGCTGAGGACAAGGGTCAAGAAAACCCATCTAAGGTAAAACCAGTCAAAGTTTACTCCAAGGTTCCTGATAAAGCACTTTGTATAAGAGACTAGAGGACCAAGACTTTCCGTTATTGGAGTTGATTATTTTCTGGAGCCAGAAAATGGATTTTAGTTATTTCTTCATTCAGCTGGAGAAGAATTTGAGCCATCTAAATGTTTGTACGGTCTAACCACTTATGTGAGATGTGTGAGAAACAGATAGCTGAATGTCATCTGCATAGCAGTGAAGTGAAACAACTTCCAAGGTGCTTAAAATGTGCTGAAGGGGCTGCATGCACACCGGAAATGAGTGTGAATAAATAAAGTTGAGAGGTCAAATATCATTATTAGATCTTTTACTAATAAAATCTGACATGTTTAATCAACAAACAAATATTTAGCATTATTATTAGATCTTTTACTAATAAAATCTGACATGTTTAATCAACAAACAAATATTTAGCAGTTTTGTTTCGTTGGGTATGTGGGTGTGGATCTTGTGGGGTTTTAGTGGTGCCGTTTCTGTTGTGCTGCAGTATTATATTCTCAGTGGCAACACCTACTGTTTAAAGGGAGAGCTGCAGCAAGTGCAGCTGGACAGACACCGTCTAGCACATTTGGTGCCAGAGTTAGTTTCACTCTGACTAACTGATGTTCCTAGAGAAAGTAAGGCATGTGTTGAATCCAACGATGGTGTGAAAATAACTACAGGTATCTGATGATATGTGCAGCTTTGTGATTATCTACAAGGTGTTATGACATCACTGTCTTCAACTATTTTAGTGTTTCCTTTTTAAATCCTCACCAGCACACATCTATATTCCAGTCATGGCTGCTAATATTAAACAGTGGGGCTGCTGTTTGTTTATAGAAGTGTTGATTTTTTATTTGTGAGTAGTTACAAATAATTCCTTTGTGAGAATATTATGTTTCCGGCTCATTGTAGATGTTGCTCATGGCTGCAGAGTATCCATGCTAGGATGAAAGCAAACTGGAGGCCTGTTTGTGAACGGTCATTTTAATACGTTCATAATTAGTCCTGTTGAATTGTATATAATCATTCACTTCTTCCACTGTCTTAAAACACACCAACCTGCATCGTGTTGAATCAAAACTCACACTGAATTGTGACAGAAGAGTAAATCATCTTCCTCCAGTCAATCTAACTTTTATCCTAAAACCCAAATGTATAATTCTACTCACTAAACCACTGCTGGTTGGGTAATATAATGTTCACTGACAATTTAATGGTTGTGATGGTTTGTAAAATTATTAATATAACTAATCAACTGCCAAATCAAACAGTTAATCTTTTATTGTGGACTTGCACCATAAGAAGGATTGGTCCTCTTTTTGTGAGAGTTGTGTTTTATGATTGATTTATCGATTTCGGGTAACAAAATATAATTAAACTTATTATTAAAATAATAACTGTTAAGTGAATCTCATAAATGTTCTGTCACTGAAAGAGTTGTGGCATTGAGTGAGCTATTGTGGGATCAGATCTCACCCCTCTTTGCTTATCAGCCTTGGAGCACTTCCCATACCAGACTGTTATGGAAAATGTCAGGACACGGACTCCACACACATTAAAGAACAATAAAGCCTCTTCATACATTATAGCTGCCAGTGGGCCTCATTAATTAGGCTGGCTGTGTTAATGGTCCATGTAAGGTCAACGAACAGTGCAAGTCCATGTTTTTAGCTTCATGACTTCTCCTAAGACAAACAACCCACACACATCTCCTCTTCTTTACTCAGGGTTTGTAAAGCCTGATGGATGGGCTTTGAAACAGGTCCAGACAAGTCTCACTTTGACAAACGAGTCACAGACATTTAAGCTGTAGATGACTAGGACAGATAGCTTTGTTAGCACTACTTGGTGAGTTTGTGGGTCACATTAAATACAATCAAAGGACCCCACTGACACATGGGCCTCAGTGAGGATCTATTATACAACTGGGACTCTCCACCATTTGACCTTAGAACTGAAGAAGCCTCTCGGATGAGAGGTGAAACGTCTTCAAGCAACTCAAAGAAGTCCAGACACTTTTCTTTCAAAGCTCCTTAGACTACAATGACCTGGATGACTGAGAACCTTCACAGACATTATACAACCAAGTTAGTAAGTCCAACAGACATCTTCAGTTAATAAAAAACTATGTTTGGACCGAATATTTAACCACTAAATGTGATGAAACAGACAGTTTTTTCATATTAGCCAAACGTGTCTAACAGCCACCAGGAAGAAAACTAATCGTTCCACCATTTGGGACACTAACTCAAGGGTTACTGACATGTTACCAAGTCACACGGTAAATTCACACTTAGGTGTACAGTAGGTGTGAAAACAAACACACACACACACACACACACACACACACACACACGGGCACACACACACACACACACACACACACACACACACACACACACACACACACACACACACACACACACACACACACACACACACACACACACACACGGGCACAAGCAAAACATTTTATTTCATTGTTAGACAAGGCTCTTGCAGGTTTTCTGAGCAACACCAACACATCATTATTTCTTGTATTTGGGTGTTAGGTGACTTTCCAACTCAAGAGCCAGTTCCAAACCCCTGAAGAGAGGATTACATCTACTTCGTGCAGAAATAATTTTGTTTTAGTGTTGTATATTTAAAGAGCTCGCATTACAGCTTGAAGCAAAGCTCTTGAGGAGTAGATAGCACGTGGAGATGTTTCAGCCCAACATGTCAATTCTGTGCACTCCTAAGTTAATGTAGCACCTTAAGCCTGTCACTAAACTGATTACCAATGCAGGAAATCCCGGGGCAAAAAGGGTCTAGTTGAATGCACATCACCTTCAGCAGTGCAGCTGGAGAGCTGTCTCTGCGTTAGCTCTGAATGCGCATCAGCAACATCAACAAACAAATGATCATTAGTATTTATCTGTACGTTGTTGAGAGTAAATAAATCACTGCACATGACATAGGCAAGTGTGTCTGTGGCACTTCTGCAGGTGTGTGTGAGAGTGTGCATTTATATACGCATCAGTCTGAAGGATTCATAGAGCTGAATTAAAACAAAGATGTTCTGTGATTAAAACCGGAGAATATTTAGAGTTCATTTGCAAAAACAGAAAACTTTATTTTTTATAAATAAGAAAAAAATGCATCTTTTTATGTTTCACTTGAGGTGGTATCACTCAGTTTGGTTACATCTGTTTTTGTAAATTAGGTCTTCATGCCGACACCAGAGTGAAATGGAAACAACTTCAATAACGCCAAGAAGAAGAAGTAAAAAGAATTTTACATTATGTAGCTTGAATGTAAAGTACCTGCAGATCTGACTGCTGTGTTCGGTCATGGACACCAGCAGTTTGAGGGCGTAGAGTGGAACAGGTTCTGGTCCAGTAAGAAGAGATTCAAACCTAAACATTAAAAAAAGCAAACAGTGCTTTGAAAAGAATAGTTGAGCGATAAAAGTTATTCCAATATGGAGAGAGAGAGAGATACGTGCTGCTGTCAAAATGTAACTGACCCTCTCAAATATCTTCTGTTTTTACCTCTTGGTTGAAAACATTTCAGTTATCAATATAATTTCAATACCAGATAAAATAACCTTAGTTAATACAAAATGCAGGTTTCAAAAAGTTCAATTGTGAATTGTGTCATTTTGGATAAAAGCATACAGTGGGGCAAAAAAGTATTTAGTCAGCCACCGATTGTGCAAGTTCTCCCACTTAAAATGATGACAGAGGTCAGTAATTTACATCATAGGTACACTTCAACTGTGAGAGACAGAATGTGAAAAAAAATTCCATGAATTCACATGGCAGGAATTTTTAAAGAATTTATTTGTAAATCAGGGTGGAAAATAAGTATTTGGTCAATAACAAAAATTCAACTCAATACTTTGTAACATAACCTTTGTTGGCAATAACAGAGGTCAAACGATTACTATAGGTCTTTACCAGGTTTGCACACACAGTAGCTGGTATTTTGGCCCATTCCTCCATGCAGATCTTCTCGAGAGCAGTGATGTTTTGGGGCTGTCGCCGAGCAACACGGACTTTCAACTCCCTCCACAGATTTTCTATGGGGTTGAGGTCTGGAGACTGGCTAGGCCACTCCAGGACTTTCAAATGCTTCTTACGGAGCCACTCCTTTGTTGCCCGGGCGGTGTGTTTGGGATCATTGTCGCGTTGGAAGACCCAGCCACATTTCATCTTCAAAGCTCTCACTGATGGAAGGAGGTTTTGGCTCAGAAACTCACGATACATGGGCCCATTCATTCTGTCCTTAACACGGATCAGTCGTCCTGTCCCCGTAGCAGAAAAACAGCCCCAAAGCATGATGTTCCCACCCCCATGCTTCATAGTAGGTATGGTGTTCTTGGGATGCAACTCAGTATTCTTCTTCCTCCAAACACGACGAGTTGAGTTCATACCAAAAAGTTCTACTTTGGTTTCATCTGACCACATGACATTCTCCCAGTCCTCTGCTGTATCATCCATGTGCTCTCTGGCAAACTTCAGACGGGCCTGGACATGCACTGGCTTCAGCAGCGGAACACGTCTGGCACTGCAGGATTTGATTCCCTGCCGTTGTAGTGTGTTACTGATGGTGACCTTTGTTACTGTGGTCCCAGCTCTCTGCAGGTCATTCACCAGGTCCCCCCGTGTGGTTCTGGGATTCTTGCTCACCGTTCTCATGATCATTTTGACCCCACAGGATGAGATCTTGCATGGAACCCCAGATCGAGGGAGATTATCAGTGGTCTTGTATGTCTTCCATTTTCTGATAATTGCTCCCACAGTTGATTTTTTCACACCAAGCTGCTTGCCTATTGTAGATTCACTCTTCCCAGTCTGGTGCAGGTCTACAATTCTTTTCCTGTGTCCTTCGAAAGCTCTTTGGTCTTGGCCATAGTGGAGTTTGGAGTCTGACTGTTTGAGGCTGTGGACAGGTGTCTTTTATACAGATAATGAGTTCAAACAGGTGCCATTAATACAGGTAACGAGTGGAGGACAGAAAAGCTTCTTAAAGAAGACGTTACAGGTCTGTGAGAGCCAGAGATTTTCCTTGTTTGAAGTGACCAAATACTTAATTTCCACCCTGATTTACAAATAAATTCTTTAAAAATCCTACCATGTGAATTCATGGATTTTTTTTTCACATTCTGTCTCTCACAGTTGAAGTGTTCCTATGATGTAAATTACTGACCTCTGTCATCATTTTAAGTGGGAGAACTTGCACAATCAGTGGCTGACTAAATACTTTTTTGCCCCACTGTAAATAAACATAGTCAGTTACAGCAGTTCCAGGACCTGAAGCAGCAGAACAGCCTCAGACCATCACACTTCCACCACCGTGTCGGTATGATCTTACTTTTCTGACACGCAGAGTTAGTTTGTAGATGTAACGGGATGCACATCTTCCACAAAGGCCTACTTTTGTTTGGTCAGTCCACACAATGTTTTTACCAAAACTCTCAAAAGCAATTTTGGTTCTAATGTTAAAAATGAAATAGACTGTCACAAAACAACGAGTGTCAATAATCCAACTTGAGCCGTTTGGATTACCATGAGCTGGATGACCGAGGACCTCCAGCAGCAGAGTAATCTATCCAACTGACCATTTTTAACGTTATTAGTGTACGTTCCTATCAATGCATACATTATCAGTATAAATCAGACCAACCTTGGAAGCAGGGATTTGGTGTAGAGAGCTGAGATTTGGCTCAAGGATTTTCCATCCTCTCCTTTTCTGTCTCTGTTTTCTGTCTTTTCAAAATTTTCTTGAATATCTTCATCTTGGACCAGCAGAATCAGGCTGAGTTCAGACAGCACCTTCAGAACAAACACCGACCACTCCACTGGAGTAAACAAAGACAATGCATGTTCATTTCAGTCAGAGTTTAAAGAATGGTGTGTGTGTGTGTGTGTGTGTGTGTGTGTGTGTGTGTGTGTGTGCGTGCGTGCGTGCGTGCGTGTGTGTCGGAAAGAGAAACCCAACATACCACATAAGGTGCTTTACTTACATCACAGTCAACATTCATATTTTAGACAAATTACTATACAGCCATACGTTAGTTACTTTAATTCTGACCCTAACCTTGAACACATAATCGTACCGTGAATTTAAAAAGTGAATTTAATATTGTTGAACCATTCCATCTATGTGAGTGTAGATTATACAACACAAGCACCCTAACAAACCCAACCAGACTTATTTTAGACTAACACAGCGTGACAAGTAACAGGGAAATAAAATGTTAATGGCAAACCAGAAGCCCCTTTACCCTAACAACCAGCTCCCTCGTGTCGGCAGCGAGCCCTAACAGCCACAGCACATTAATGACCGTCACAGGGTCCAAAACAAAAACAAGGCTGTGGATTACTGTAATGGTGCTTTACACAACATACTGGATTTCCCAAGGTTAGCCTCTCCAGCTCACCATCGCTTGTTTGTAATTCATCACAACACAGCCTGACTCATTATCTACGTCTTTGTTCATTTCTATCTTCTACTTCCTGGATTTTCTCTGCATTCTCAACTAAAATGCGAAACAAAGAAAAGAGTGTGAAGGTTGCCAGCTTTCTTCTGTCACAATGACCTTCTCTCTAAGCTGCCTTTCTATTTTCTCACTGCCATTTCTCCTCACTCACTCCACTCTGACACTAGCTACTCCTGCCACTGCTCTCTCCTGATAGTGACCCAGGGCTCGTACCATTTTTGCTGAAAGCCAGAGTTGTCAGAGGAGGCAGGATGGCATCCACAACCTGAAACGACATAAAGAAGAGAGACAGAGAAAAAATGAAAAGAGCACGTGAGATAAAGAAAAAAGTGACGCAGCATTGTTCGCGAATGTGTTGAAGGCTTGCATGTTTGTTCAGCGTTTTATGTACAATTCTTCTAGATTAGACAACACGAGTAAAGAGACAGTAAATGTCATTTTAATCGAGCTGGTTACTAAACTGAAAACCAGGCAATGGAACGTATTTTTAGAAATGGGGCTGTGTTAATCCTGTAGACTTGAACCATCAAACCGCGGTCACACATCAAACTGGAAATTCACCGTTGGATGATTTTTCTTTTAGGTTTTTGATCAAACACACGTTTTCCTCTCGGTAAAAGCCCTCTTCTAAGATGAAGCTGTACTGCTCAAATCTGCATGAATACTAATATTACCATAGAAACAACACTAATGCTGAGGGTGTGTGGGGTCATTACATTAAAAGCCAGAGAAAGAAAACTACAAAGGATGTTGCCCACTACCTAATGGCCCATGTAATAATAGCCCAGCATCAGAGGATGGATGGAGTGTGTAGGCTGACGTGTATTTGTGTTTTTGTTTGTGTGTGCTGGTGTTTATGGCCCTTTTACCTTGTTACTGATATCTCTATTGCTCAGTGTGGCAAAAATAATAATAAAAGAAATCATCTATACATCATATGTAGTAGAATACCCTACCCCAACCCTACTGTCCACTTTATATGTTGCTTTCAAAAGTATGGATTTTTCTGTACGCTCATGTGTGTTTATGGATGTTATGGATGTTCAGCACAGAGAAAATATTGCTCAATGACATTTGGTTGGATGGCCTGGCATCAATATGCATTTCTCTCCCAAAATCTGAGACAGACTGATATTCTGCATCAGGTCCGGGGATCGAACGATTGGGGACTGAAGTAGTCATTTTCCCCAGTAGTTTAAGGCATCCAGAGAAAAGAGCAGCAGAAGAACTAAAAGTAAATGTTCCCATCAGCCCCGTGTCCTGCCAACAGTGAAGCATATTGAGACCATTCATGTGTGTGGGAACTCTCAGCCAAGGGAGTGGACTCACTCACAGAACTCAGCCATGAATAAAAATGGTACCCAGAGGAAATCCTACCATCTAAGAAGAGTTTATCTAGTGTGATGGTATACCGAGCCTTGGAGCTCAAGTCCTGGGCCGATACTTTTCAAGAAGCCATTGAAATAAGGAGGAAAAAAGAAAACATCCAAGTTGTCCTTTAAGTTTCGTATGCTGGTGAAAGTTCTCAGTCATCCAGATCATGGTAATCCAGAAGGGTTCAAATGAAGGCAACTGGACTTCTTTGGTTTCTTGAAGACGTTTCACTTTGCATCCGAGGAGCTTTGTCACTTCTGACTGGAATATGGGAGGGTCAAGCTTATAAGCTGTCACTGTCTGTTGTTGCTTAACTGAGCAGACACTACCTACGAACTGCCCTCCTCCGTACCTCATGATGAAGTCGTTAGCCTCTATTGTGTTGAGGAGGGTGTGACTTAGACTGAAGTTGTCTGAGTTCACTGTGAACTGGAACTATTAGAGACAAACTGGGAATTAGTGGAGACCGGTGGTTTGCTTTGTTGATGCCCGGAGGGAGGAGCAGAGTGCAGGATGACTGCTCAGTATGCACACATTACTAGTGACTGTTGCACTACCTTCACTGTCCAGTTTAAAATATCACCAAGCTGAAGACATTTTAGCTCTGCTGAGGAGATAAGTTAGCACTGCGTTAGCCTGCTAGCTAACAGCTGCATCTTGGTGTCTGAGTTCCTGCTTGCCGTAAACCGTGTGACATTACTGCAAAAGATACTGATGTAGAGGAACTTGTTGAAATTAAAATGAAGCCATTGCTATTCCATTAGAAAATCTTTATCTCAGGATGATTTTAAAAAGTCATGATTGTTGTTTTAAAGGTTTAATCTGATTTCTCCTGATTCTGATCCCTTTAAAACCACATGATCGGATCAGAGCATCCCTAGTCAGAAATAAACATCAACATTTGGGTTCATGGCCAGGTAAACCCCAGACCTCAAGCCCATTACAAACCTGTGACCAACCCTTAAGAGACAGGTAAAAAAACATAAACCATCTACATGTGACATGTTCCAAGCACTTGTTATGCAATCATGAGCTGCCATCAGTCAGGATTCAGCCCAGAAGTGAACAAGCTGAATTGCAGATGCCTTAAAAAGAAGGACCAACATTATAAATAACGACTCTGCATAAACTTAGTTGTCAGTCAAAGCTTTTGAAACTTGGGCATTTTAGGAAGCAGCACATATTCTTAATAGTGTTAAATAAAACCGATAAGTATTTTGATGCTTTGTTCATATGAACAGAAATACATGACCAGATGAGATAAATGGTTTTAAGTTAGGACAAAAGTTGGAAAGAGAACTTCAAGCAAACTTTACTTTTAATCCAAAAAGTGAGAAGTCAGTGATGTAAATGATCTCCGGGATGAGTCTGTGTCCTTGTGTAGCAGTAATAAAAGCTAATCTGAGCTGGCTGGCTGTAATTAAAGTGTCTTCCTGTGTTATTGACAATCAGTAGCTCCAAGTCTCCCGTTAGCTCCCTGTCTGCTTCCTGCTTTTCTCCACAAACACATGTCAATAGCCATTAAACACAATCTCATTGTTGTTCCTCACGTACGCGCGCACACACACACACACACACACACACACACACACACACACACACACACACACACACACACACACACACACACACACACACACACACACACACACACACACACACACACACATCCTTAACCAAAACACCCACAGATCTGATGAGCTTCTCTTGGTTCAATACTTGATTAGTTTCTTGCCTAAAAACTCACATGTTCACCCTCTGTCCTCTGATCTCTAGTTTAGTAGAAAAGTGAAAATCACACAAAATACGATATGAAACTGAGAGTGGGCTGAATAAATGTAGACATTTAGTAGACGGCTTTATCCAAAGTAGCTCAAAAGCAATGGTCATTAACGAATCTAGACTGTTTCTAAGTGAAGACCGAAGCTTTACCTGAGGACACAATGTGTTTGAGTTTTCAAGGAATTCTTAGAGGTGAAGCTGAACATCTTTAAGAGTTTGGTAGCATACCATGTTCCCACGAGGACGAGTAACTGTGTTGCACTTTAGCCAGCAAAACATGCAGGCGTGTCCAAATTCAGCGGCTGCATCTTCAAAGACCCTGTCATGGTCTGCGTCCTGCGTCTCCCTCGTGTGTCTCCTTGTGTTCTCCATCCCTCTCTAGGTTTCCCTTATGTGTCTCCTTGTGTTCCTCATGTGTCTCCTTGTCTGCATCCCTCCTCATGTGCCTCCCTGTGTTCCCCAGGCCACTCCAGGTTTTTTCCCCTTAAGTGTTCCCCCCAGGTTTAAGCGTCCCTGTGTGTCCCCAACCCCCTCCAGGCTCTAGATTTCCCTTACATTTTTCCTTAGACACCTTTTATCATTAGTCTTCTGTTAAGTGTTTTATCTAGTCTGTTTTCTCCCTCTAGTTCATTTTACTCCCTTCCCCATTTTTAGGTCTGGTTTCCTCCCCTGCCCCGTTGTGCTCCTCCTCTGTTTATTGGTCTCACCTGTGTACAATTCCCTTATCACCCAGCCCTTGTGTAAATAACCCTGTCGTGTTGGTCCATTGTTTGTGTCAGCGTTGTCTCTAGGTCTCCAGGTCAGCTCTTTAAGTGAGCTCTTTGTCTCTAGGTCTCTTGGTTTTTTCATACTTAGATTTTTGGATTTTCGGTTTTGGCTTCCTGCCTTTTGGATTTACTTTTGGACAATCGCTCCTAATAAAGGAATTTACGTTTATTCCAACTCTTGCCTCGTGTCTCCCTGGTTCTGCATCTTGGGTCCTAACCCCCACCCCCCCACCCCCCCACAGCCTGACAGAATGGACAGACAAACCCAGGACCCAGCAGACTCTCCAGGTACCCCAGATGTACAGATGTACAGGTGCTATGGTGACCCAGAAACCTGCTGGACTGCGCTGGCTTCTTGGACATGAATTCCTCAGAGTTTAATAAGGTGTCGTTCAAGGTGTTCTGCTTGGGAGGCAGAGCCCTGTGGTGGGCCGCCCTCTACTTGGACCTTCACCCCATAGAAGAGGTCTCTTTTTGGACCTTCTCGAAAGAGCTTTGGGCGACTTTCGGCCTCACACCACGACCACTTATCATATGTACCTTCCCAACTCTGATCGGCCGAACCTCCATGCCTTCACCTTGTCTCGACTGCGCCACCTCATCATCTCCGGTGGGCTGTCACTCCTCCTCTGCGGCGTCCGGCGCCATCTCAGCACCTCCAGTGGGCTGAGCCACCACACCTTCACCTGGTCCAGACAGCGCTGCTTTCTCATCCCTGGTGGGCTGTCATTCCTCCCAGTCCTCTGTTCCAACCGGCGTCATCCCCGCTCCTCCGATGAGCCGAAACTCTCCACGTCGACGAGGCTGCAACCGTCGCCAACTCCACCCGCCATCATCACCAGCTCAGGCCGAGCACTGCCAGCTCAGTCTATGGTCCTCTCCAAGACCCAACTGGTCCAGCCTGTGCAAGCAGCTCCGGTCCAGCCTGTCCCAAGCGGCTCCGGTCCAGCCTGTCCCAAGAGGCTCCGCTCCAGCCTGTCCCAAGAGGCTCCGCTCCAGACTGTCCCAAGAGGCTCCACTCCAGCCTGTCCAAGAGGCCATGCCTCCAGGGTCTACGCCTGCAGTTCCCTGGTCTACGCCTGCAGCGTCCTCGCCAGTCGAGTCTAAAGTGTCCTCGCCAGAAGAGTCTAAAGTGTCCTCGCCAGAAGAGTCTAAAGTGTCCTCGCCAGCCGAGTCTAAAGTGTCCATGCTTCCAATGTCTCCAGAGTCTCCTCCAGCAGAGTCTTCGTCTCCTGAGCCGCCTCGTGCCGAGTCTTCGCTACGGCCTCGTGCCAAGTCCCCATCTCCAGAGTCCCCTCATCATCCTCCTCTTCAGCTTCCAGAGTCACCTCTTTGACTTCCAGAGTCGTCGTCCCTTCCTCGGCTTCCAGAGTCATCATCCCTTCCTCGGCTTCCAGAGTCGTCATCCCCTACCTCGGCTTCCAGAGTCGTCGTCCCCTTCCTCGGCTTCCAGAGTCGTCGTCCACTTACTCGGCTTCCAGAGTCGTCGTCCCCTTCCTCGGCTTCCAGAGTCGTCGTCCACTTACTCGGCTTCCAGAGTCGTCGTCACCTTCCTCGGCTTCCAGAGTCGTCGTCCCCTTCCTCGGCTTCCAGAGTCGTCGTCCACTTACTCGGCTTCCAGAGTCGTCGTCACCTTCCTCGGCTTCCAGAGTCGTTGTCCCCTTCCTCGGCTTCCAGAGTCGTCGTCACCTTTCTCGGCTCCTGGTACCCCCGTCGCCGGCCCCCCAGAGCCTCCTGGACCTGGCTTCTGATTCTCTGTCGCCGGCCCTCCCAGACTCCCCTGGTCCCCTTGTTGTTCTTTTTGTCTGTGTCTTGTGGGCGTCTGGTATCCGCCCCTTGGGGGGGGGGGGGGGGGGGGGGGGGGGGGGGGGTACTGTAATGGTCTGCGTCCTGCGTCTCCCTCATGTGTCTCCTTGTGTTCTTTATCCCTCTCTAGGTTTCTCTTATGTGTCTCCTTGCGTTCCTCTTGTGTCTCCTTGTCTGGATCCCTCCTCATGTGCCTCCTTGTATTCCCCAGGCCACTCCAGGTTTTTTCCCCTTAGGTGTTACCCCCGGGTTTCAGCATCCCTGTGTGTCCCCAACCCCCTCCAGGCTCTCTAGGTTTCCCTTACGTTTTTCCTTAGACACCTTTTATCATTAGTCTTCTGTTAAGTGTTTTATCTAGTCTGTTTTCTCCCTCTTGTTCATTTTGCTCCCTTCCCCATTTTTAGGTCTGGTTTCCTTCCCTGCTCCGTTGTGCTCCTCCTCTGTTTATTGGTCTCACCTGTGTACAATTCACTAATCACACAGTCCTAGTGTATATAACCCTGTCTGCGTCTCAATGTGGTTGTTGGTCCATTGTTTGTGTCAGCGTTGTCTCTAGGTCTCCAGGTCAGCTCTTTAAGTGAGCTCTTTGTCTCTAGGTCTCTTGGTTTTTTCATACTTCGATTTTTGGATTTTTGGTTCTGGCTTCCTGCCTTTTGGATTTACTTTTGGACAATCGCTCCTAATAAAGGATTTTACGTTTATTCCAACCCTGCCTCGTGTCTCCCTGGTTCTGCATCTTGGGTCCAACCCTCCCCCTCCCCCCCCCCCCACTCACAGCCTGACAGACCCAACCTCCCCACTAGGTGTAGACTGGTGTAGGGACCAGGAGACCAGAGGCTGTGAAATGAGATGATCAAGCCTTCAGATGTCTTCTAGCCATCAATCCCGTTGCCTAGCAACCACGACAGTGTTAAACAGGAGTCTAAATTAAACTTTGCACTATATGAGCTGACTCTGTCCATCGTAAGAGGACATTTTCAACAACCAGAGACTTTATAACTGCTGACAGATTCGTCTTTTCAGCTGGCAATGTAGAAAAATGAACGTTTTAATCAAAAGCATGACGGTTGGATGAACCTGAACAAGACTACAAGCTGGAACTCTTAATGATGCACTTAAAGTTACAGTGTCAGGGTATCTGCAGGTTTAAGGGAGCCAAATTTAAGACTTTTTAAGACCTTTTTAAAGGCCAATTTGACCAAATTTAAGCTACTTTTTTTTAACTATAATTTCCAGCTATTACGAATGTGGGACTAGCCATCCAGCTACCATAAAAGTTGCACGTCCCCATGGTGCAATCTCCCACTAGCTTAACCAGCTAATGTGCTCATCTAAAAAGCCCCCTTCCACAACCAACTGAATGTGTACGGTTCCGCTTATGCCAATATCATACACAAAAAATGCTGAACACTAACTAGAAATTCATGAAAATGGAAATAAAAAATTCTTGTTTATTGGGTCTTTGGTAATTTAAGACCTTTGGAAACTGTATTTAAGGATTACTTGTCATTTTTAATGATTTTTAAGGCCTTAAATTTGGAAAAGCAAATTTAAGACTTTTTAAGGACCCGCGGATACCCTGAGTGTGTATTTTTACTGGCGATGCGGGGCAGTAGATACCTAAATCGTTGTAAGCAAGCAGTATTTTTGTGTTGGAGTAAGACCTTACCAACGGATGCCCATTAGGGTCAAAAAGCCCTGGGGAGTGCAAACTTTAGCAAAATAAGGAGCACATCAGACTCTGTTTCATCAGTGGCAACGAGTGAAGAGGTAAACATATAAAACAACATTTAAGAATGACAAAAGTTTTGTAACCGTTTGTTACAAATCAGTGAATGCTTTTTGTCCTCATGGGCTTCCATAGAAGGAAACATGGCGTCTAATATGGCGTCGCCCAGAGACTTAAGACCCGCTCCCGTGTATTTTAGACCTGATTTTTATGATTATTTGTTATGAAGCTGCAAATAATTTTCAACAACTGGGCATCATTTCATTCATTTTCAACAACATTTTGATAGATATTTCCAGAAGTTAATGGTAAAAACTTTACATAGCCTCTTAAAGGAAATACTGAAACGTCATTTTCTGGAAAAGTTTCTATTTTCCAACAGTTTAGCCTGGTATCTCAGTTGCAGCTAGGGGGTCAAGAAAAACTGCCAAGTGTGCCTTTAAAGCTGCAACCAATTCTACTTTGCTCCCTCGCTGTTCCAAAAACAATCGGACCGTGACATTAAAATACTGATTTAAAGCTGCTACTGCAACACGTGCTCACACCTGAAGCGTCGGAAAACGACGCTCTGGCATGCGCGTTAGGACGTGTCGAAAACAAACGCTTGGTCACCCAGCATCATTTTTGATGCTGCGGGTGTGAGAATGTGGGGGCTGCGGTGAATCTACAGAACAAACTAGGTTTTGAACACAAACACGGTCACAAAACACTCACCCCTCCCCTCTGGTATCTGTCCTGAGACACTTCTGCTGGAACAAGAAACCCACGACGCCAGCAAAAACCAGATAGTGCTAATTACCAGTTACCGTTACTTCAAATGGTGTTTTCTTTTTGGGACTCTGGTAGTTAGACCTAAAGTTGAAGCGGTAGCAGCCGGCTAGTCTCACTCTCAAACGCCACTTGTTGGTATTGGCTCCTGATAAAGGCTCCTGAAGTCAAAACTCATTTTGGGGTCAGTTAAAGTCTGTTTTTATGTGTGAAGTGATGCAAGAAACACGAAACACTGTGAGACAAAAACACCATTAGTAATGGTCACGTACCTCCTACCTTTAGTCAGACAGACCTGAACGTTAGTGTGGCACTACACCAAGTCAAAATGATGATAAACACGTAGTAGCTGGATGCACACACACACACACGCGCGCACACGCACGCACATACTTACAGTCACATGATACTGAGTGATGAGAGTGTGGTGCTGACTCAGGACCTCCACGATGGATAATGTTGTTCTAATCAGATCTTCACGAATTGAAGCACCTAATGGAAAATCATCATTTTCAGCTCTACTGACTCAGAAACATGAGACTGAACCCTGATGGGTGAACAGTAGCGCACTCTGCACACGTGGCTGTAAATCAGCACCACAATAGTCTTTTCAGGGCAACACCTCCATTCATACCCACATATATTCATGTTTCATTATTAGACATTTAAAATGAGTATTAAAGCAAAGCAACGTGTATGTAGAAGTGATAAATGATGACTAAAGCTATAACAGTACTAGTATATGATGACTGAGCTCTTTTAACCATCACAGCCAACAGGAAAACACATCTTACCGACAGCACTGGCCAGGTTCGTTTCATGTGACTCTATGGATGTGACGTATTTCTGAAAGAACACAAGGACAGAAGGCTTCTGTACTTAAAGTGGTTTTATTTACTGTTTGTTATTTTCTTTAGCTATAATGTGAGTTTAGGACTTCAGAGGTGTGCATTTTAATCCTTTAAAAAAACATTTATATTTATGTGTTGTTGACTTTTTTCTACTTTTTGCTGAGATTGTAATAGCACCAATGTTTAACCTCAAAGATCCACATAAACTGGAAGTGCTTTTGGTAGATGCCAGTTGTTTTAGAGTTTTTCAAACTGCATTAGACTAATGAGGTGTCAGTGTACTTTTTAAAGTGCAAATTAGTTTTTCTGAAACAAGAAAAGCTAAAAAGATAAAAAAGGGAGAGTGATGCTGCAAGCGCCTACCAGCACCAGTCCGATCTGAACCAGGAACTCTTCATGTACGATTCGAGGTCTAAAGACCTGAGGGGAGACACCCAAGCACACAAAATAATGGATAACAAAAAAATTAAAGTGTGATGCTGCAAATAAATAAAACAAATCCAAATGTAGGAAAAAGAGATGAAATCAAGCCAAATAAACAATGTCACAAATACTGTAATACAGCTTAAAGAAGACAAAAGGATAGATGACATCAGATCATTTCAGTGAATCAGACAAAAATAAATCAAACAGAGAAAATGATTTGGGCCCTGTCTACCTGAGATGAAAGAAGCCCCAAAACGACAGAGACTGTTGGTAAAGTCTGTTTAAGCTGTTTACTCTGAGCAGCAGAAGGGTGTCGTCTCCCGATAACCCCTCCCAGTGCGTTTAAAACATCCTCTAGAGAAGAGCGGACACGGTCGAGACAAAACCAGTGAATGAGCAGACGAGACTAGAGCTACAAAAGCACAACAAAAAACCACATGTGATGTGACTGCTAGCATCTGGAAAAGCTTTAATTATACATTTGCAGCTTTAGCTAAGGTGGTGATATCTTCCAGTTGTACACCTATAAAAAGACTTGTTTGTGAATCAAGTTAAAGTAAAATTAGGACTCTAAATGCAATTCAGTGCAGGTTTCATGTAGTTTGTAAGGTTATTAAATTACACTATAAATTATATGTGTGCAGATTTAGTGAATAAAAGTAAGGGAAGACCTGACTGTCGTTACAACATAAAAGCAATGACATTTCTAACGTGGCGTAAGTACTCATGAAAAAGAAACAAACAGAAGTGTGTACTTGTGAGTGCTCACCCATTATCACTGGTGCAGTGGCACTCAGATGTCCAAGCAGAAGGTCCAGACACTGACCCAGGTATCCTGACTGGCTGGGATTCTCCCTCAGAGGAGTTGCCTTCCGCAGGTCTCTCTCCAGGTACATCACAAGTCTAGACAGACACATCCAGCTATTCCATGCCATCTTCACATACGTGACTTATTCACGCGTTTCATCGCTAGATTACGTATTTCAGGGAAACATGTATTAAAGCACCTCTAAGCTGTTTTTAACACTATAATGATTCTTTAAAAAGAAAAAAACATTTCACACAAAACCTAAAATAGCGTTTCCCCCCGTTTGAAAATAAGCGCGTTCTTGGTATCAAAATGTGTCTTTAAAACTCACGGACATCATAAGTGTAATTCATGAAACATAACAAGCGGATTAGAAAATGGCGTTTTTAGCCCCGTTGACTTGCATTCATTTTGTCGTTCTTCCGGGGACCCATTGTGCGGAAGTGACTTAAGCCTGGTTTATGCTTCTCCGTCAGCTCCGCAAGGGACAGACACGCACGGATTGACGCAAGTGTTTTGCTCTCACACTTCTCCGTCACTTCTCCGTCTCCTGGAGAGTGTTGCAAAGCAATTGCCCGGCCAACAACAGAGGGCGTAGCGCTGTTCTGTGGTATCCTGTCATGTATCGGTCCAAGATAGTGTGTTTATATTGTGTTTTTTGTGTATATAAGAGACTTTTAACACAGACATATTTGTCTCTCATTCTCCCACCTCTTCACGCGCTCCCTACCTCTAAACCAACGTTTCCTATCATTTCCGTCCACAAATAAAACGCTTGCTGTGCATCTTTTCACTCCTAAAGTCACGGGAGAATTAAATGTTCATATTTTTAGAGTTTTTTCGCGAGGTATTCTTCAAGCTTCTCCGTGTCAGCCGCTAGTTATCCTCGGCTCTCTTTGCAATGGCGGTGCTGTAAACAACAGCGGCGTCCTGACCAATCATAAGCTTGCGTAATCCGTCTCGTTCGACGGATGTTTAAAAAAGTGGGCTCGACTCCGTACATACTTGCGTGCCTGCCGGAGCTCTACGCAAGGACGGATAATGGCGTTGCGTGTCTCCGCACTGACGCAGACGGAGAAGCATGAATCAGGTTTTAGGCTCCCTATTAGCTGGAAGAATAGGGAGCTGAACATGACAAGATCTGGTATTTTACTTACTGATATGCGGACATCTATCCTCTCATTGGCTAACAGCAACACAACTCTACCACTGACTCTGTCTGCTCTGCAACGTTGATGTTTTATCCCCACAAATAACACAAGCCTGGAGGAGTTCTGCTGTGTGATGGAGTTGCTAATGCTAACAGTTAGCTTCTACTAGCTGAGACATTCTCTGCTGTTTGCTAGATGCTAAACCAACAACAGCCTTCCCCGTCACAAGTCAAGATGGGTGAGTCCATGAATGTTAAGTGAAACATCCAGGTGCCGTATGCCTTCGGCTTGTTTTCACATCCCTTTGCTACACAAGTAACTGGCATGTTCCTGTATTAAGCCTCTACAACTAACTAAGGAAAGAAATAATGTGCAGATCGCACGTGTATCTTTGTTTACAGAAGCCGGGCAGCTCTTGCGTTTCCAACCACTGAGTTATATCCATGCACCATGCAGCAGCGGCTCACAGTGGTGCTTTGTCGTAATATAGTCCCAAGTCTAAATCGGCTCCTTCTAATACTTCGTGTTACTTCTTACTTTTCATTTGCAGTCGACATGATTATTGAGCTCTACATGAATAGTTGGTGTCATTATTGAGTCACTCGCAAACAAAATGCTACTAGTTCCCATTCACTTCCATTGTTTATGCTAGACAAAGGCAGACGGGCGGCAGCCAGACCAGGAGAATTACTGTGCTGGTTACAAAATGCTTTTCTCTGGTTAATCTAACTCTGGGAAATACAGTAATAGACAAAATTCACTTTGAGGTGGAATATCCCTTTAAAAAAATTAATAAACTGCTCAAGTGCAGCTATATAAAAACAAACAAACTCCCCGGCTTTGTGTCAGAGACTCAGATTTATCATATATAACTGACCTACAAGCCTCCCGCTGTGTGACGGGGTGTGTGTGTGTTGAAAGCCAACACATTCCTCTCTCGCTGTCAATCTTAACACTTCCTCTGTGAGATTTGTGCAAGTTTATCTCTCAGAAACACGCTCACACATATTTTCACCATGGAGGTGCTAATTAAACTCAACTCGAGCCAGTGTGAGAGCGGGACTTGGGAAATACATGACTCTGTATGTGGTATGGTTGAGTCATGCAGCGTTCTCTGTGGGAGAGAGACAGGCAAGCCAAATTTTAACAACTCAGACTCAGTTTACACTGAGAGGTTGTGTGTGTCTGACATGAAGAAAGAGTCACAGAAAGAGGAAAATAGCTAAAGAGGAAATGCCTAAAAAAGCTTTTCAGTTCTGTAATCCTGTTTCAAGCACAAACAAATGACATGTTGACAAGTATAAGACATTCAGCAATGAGGGGCTGGAAAAGGTCGTGATGCACTACTGTTTTCTGTCAGGCACTGTTTCTGACACAAAGTTAGCTTTTTACTCTACAAACCTACTTCTGGGTAATAAACCCAATTTAATTTTACTGCACATTAGCAATGACGACATTCATAAAACGTTTAGGTGATAAGAAGCGACCAAATGCAGCATCTGACTCTAAAGTGTCTAAAGATACCATCCTGTGATTTCAACATGTTTTCCTCTAAATACTTCCAGTTTTTACTTCCTGATGGGAGTTACAATTCCACTCCTGACTCACTTTTACTTCCTTCTTAATTATGTCTTTTGCTTATTGCATTGTGGGCCATAAGCATTCACCGCCCTATCCTAACATCCAACCCAAGTCATGTGTTATTTACTAGAATATAATTCTGAGAGGTTAAAAGAGGCATTTAAATAGAAATGGACCAAATAAAGGAAAAAGGGAAGAAGAAATGGCTGCAGCACTAATGAGGGTGATGGATGTCAAAGCTTTTAAAGTGAAAGACCAACTGGTTATGAATTACCCCGGGACGGGTTGCATGTATGTGACAGAATCATCCATATGCATCCGACCATATGGGCTGCTCACATTTATTGCTGCACTGTGTGGCGTGGGGTAAAACACGGGACGAGCAGCTAATGAACTGTTTGAAGTTCTAGCGCAGCTGCAACGTTCAGCAGCATAAATGACGTGTCCTGGGAACATATATTCATCCTATAATTCCCACAGCTGCTGTGCTGCTTTAACTCAGAGCTCAGGCCAACTACGAGTGCACTGTCAACAACCCCACGCAGCATGTGAGTGAGAACCTCTCGTCTAAGAAATATCTGCTTCCCACAACAGATCAGTGTGTTTGAAAGCATCTCAACCCGATGCTGGTGTTAAGGACAGCAGCTGTCCTCTCATTGTGGCTTGGGTTCAGCTCAAAACCCCAAATAAAAGTTCCTCCAAAGGTTTGAGCTCCTTCTGAGCGTATTCAAACCAGGTGACTCTGTTGTGGATGAGGTGACACAGATGAATGAGTAAAGGAAATCCCTAACTGTGTGTGAACACGTACTTCTCAGCCAAACACTTAGCCAGCTGTCCAACAGGCTGTCCGACGAGTGTAGGTCTCAGGACAGCGGGAATGTAAAAAAGGCACAAAATAAAATGACTATTCTAAGACCAAGGCTTCAGCGTGCATCTGGTTATCAGTTTGCAGGTCTGCTGCAGAACTGAGAAGGTCACAAGAAGTTTTACGTTCTGTGGCTGCTAGAGGTGGGCGGAGCCTCACGTATACTCCATATATCAAACACTCGTTCCATAAATCTGAACTGACACTTAGCCCACACGTCCAGCTGGTGGTGGTCAGAGGGGCAGGTGGAGCCAGTGTACGGCAGCCTCACCTCCGTCAGTGCCCCAGGGCAGCCGATGAGGCTCATCACACCCAGTATATGAATGGGTGGATGACTGGCTGTTTTGTAAAGCACGTTGGGGGGTTCTATGACTCTAGAAGGCGCTATATCAAATACAGGACATTTACCATCTGTAGAGGTGAGTTTGTCACGTTGTTTGTTGCCCAATAGCATGCAGAGACCGCAGATCCCGCCCCACGACTGAGCTCTGCCTGTGGGTCATGGCCAGACTTTGTATTCACATATATAGGAAGGCTCACCGGGCTACAGCTATTGAGCAAGTCACTAAACCCCATGTAGCCCCGATTTTAGTGTGTGAGTGCATGAACGAATAGGTGAATGTGACCAGATAGTAAAGTTCCTGGTCAGCTGGACTAGAGAACAGATATCAGAAAGATTGGCACGAATGGGTTGACTTTAGTAGTAACAATCGCGAGGTGAGTTCTCTGGTTACGGCCGCACGTCGGCCTGTGCCAAATGGTGGTGGCTGCTTTAACATGACATTAGCATGCGTCATAAAAGCAGCCTAAAACGAGCGTTTCCTCTATAGGCTGCTGTTTAAATGGCTGATGTCTGAACAGTGTTGTCTTTAGTCTCTGAGTGTTTCCTTCCATTCACTACTTGCTTCAATGACACAACATTTATACAACATCGTTCCATTTGTAAATTGTGCACGTAAGGGGTGAGGTTTGCTAGTCTGGCAAGCCAGACTAAATAAATGTATTAATTAGTCTGGCCATGCTCCATTGACGGCTCTCGGTTGTGGGGCGGGTTCTACCGTTGTCTTTCAAATGATCTCTGCATTCCACTGGACAAAGAATGTGACATACTCTTGTTTCACTCTGCTGCATCATCCCACCCACCAGGCATATAGAGTGCCCTGATTGGCCCACAAAGCGGATAAAGCTCTGTGATTTGTTCACTAAGCAGATAGAGCACTATGATTGGCCCACCATTATGGACCAATCACAGCTCTTTATGTGTTTGAAACCCCTCTAGAGAGCTGTGATTGGCTAGCCAGAGTCCTGGTAGGAGCTGAGGAGGTTCCAATGGAGCATGCCTAGACCAGTGTTGCCAGATGTACGATAATTATCGTATTTGTACCATAATTTTGGGCTCTGTACGATGTACGATCAATAGTTTCAAAAATCCTCAAATGTACGATAATTTCACATTGCATCTAGTATCACCGTCGTTTGCTGTGGCTTTCTCAAGTCAATTACATAATTTGAAACTGTTCTGAAGTCAGATTTCACCTCAGTGCTCACAGGTTTATGCTATTGTGTCTATTACAAAAACTGACTCTGGATCTGTACAATAAATAGCCCAATCACATCGATAGGGCCTACTCTCGCGAGAAACTGTAAGGTTATATAATGTGGCAGTGGCCCGCCAGTTTTTGCTGTTTGCCTGCGAGCGCGCCGAGTTAAGTCTAATCTAGGAGGACTGAGCGACGAGACAATGGCTTCTAACCAGAGAAGGGACGGATGAAGGTAAAGCAAAGCAACACCGGACACAAGTTTATCGTCCTGCGTGGGAGTCGGACCCTATTTTCAAAGGATGGCTTGCACCTGTTACGGGGAACGAAACCAAGGCTTTCTGTCGTTGCTGCAACCTCCAGATGGTATCAGAAATCACTGTTCTCACGCAAAGGGAGCTAAACACAAAGAACGGGTAAAATGCATTGCGCCAAACCAGACATCTATACTTAAATGTCTCCAGCAAACTAATGAAAAATAGAAGTTTGAAAATTATGTGAAAAATGCTGAAATCAAGCTATGTGGCTTTTTAGCCGAGCACAACATTGCAATGAGAAGCACAGACCACTTAGTACAGGTGATTAAAGGCATTCTGCTGCGACAGACAGTGAATCAAATGGAGATCGAGATCAGCAACTAGGTGAGTAGGCTGCTTTGTCATTTATTGGGTCAGTTTTTCCACTGCTGTGATGTTTTGTCGCGTGCTTTTAACCTATGTAGAAATGACATAAATAGGACAGAGTGGTGCCAACACACTCTGCATGTTTATAGGCATTATATTACTGGTTTTAAAGATGTTTATTAAACAGGGCAATATAAAACACCTTCTTTGTTATATTATATTGGAGTGAGAAGTCGTTTATAGAACGTTGTTATCAAATTTATAATGTACGATAATTTGTACTGAAAAATGATAATTTAGGCCTTTCTGTACGATATTGTGGGATTTTGGATCTGGCAACACTGGCCTAGACCAAACTTTGCAAAGCAAGAATTTGGTCTAGTTCACTAGGCTAGAGGTTTGCTGTTTTTCTAAGAGAATGAGAGCAAATGCCCGAGAGTCACCGCTATATTACCCTTTAGTTTTGAGTAGACTTTTACGGTGGATCTAAATAAAACCCCAGATGTTGTGACAGGATTTTAGGCCACATTACCCACCCAGCTAGAGACTGATTTCACTTAGGGCTGTGTGACTATCTGCAAAATGATAACTAATCAAATGTAATCGCTCACAGAGGTCGGTTTCTAGTTGTCAATAACCTCGTCAAATAAAACAACTCATGTCAAGTTTTCTAAATAGGAGAGAAAACAACGTGTAATTATGTATAACTGGGAGGCATACACTGTGGCTGCCCTATGTGTGTGTGTGTGGATGTGTGGTGTTTACCTGTGCTGACAGCAGTAAAGCAGAGTGTGTGTGTTGTTCTGCATCAGCAGCAGAAGCAGCAGTAATGCTTTCGCTCTCGTTAGAGTCGACGGGCTTTCTAGGCAGCGCAGCACCTTCAACACCAGATCCTGCCACACAAACACAACGGAAACGTTTTTAGAAGGTCTAATATCTACAGTAAAGTCTATCAGTTTTAAAAAGAATACATTCTAGTTACAAATCTTAATCCAGTAGTTGGTTGGTTGAAACATAAATGTTTGTTAAAAAGAGAAGAAGAAAGTAGGTGTTTAAATCATAAGTAAAAAAGTACAAAACACAATAAAACTAAAATAAAATCATCTCAGGTTCCGTTTCATCATAAACCGAAACCTGCTTCAGCCGTTCACTCAGCACGTCACTGGTGGAAAACACACAATCACGACTGACCGGGATTCATTAGCGCCACCATTATCACCAGCTCAGCGTGTGTGTGTGTGTGTGTGTGTGTGTGTGTGTGTGTGTGTGTGTGTGTGTGTGTGTGTGTGTGTGTGTGTGTGTGTGTGTGTGAGAGAGACACTTCCAAATGTGGAAGCATGCTTGTGTGTTTGCGGAGCAACACACCAAGTTAATTAATTTCAAAGCTCAGCAGTGTGTGTTTAGCTGATAAGTCCCTCCCCACAACCCAGAATGCTTTGCTGAAGTGGAAGGCTGCAGCATTTTCATTCAGCCAATTAGCCCAGATACTGACACACTCAACAAATTAGAGTCTGTGCTGTTACACGCACACACGCACGCGCGCGCACGCGCGCGCACACACACACACACACACAGCTCTGTGTAAACAAACTCTTGGACCCTCTGTCTTTGTGCCAGGGGAGAGAGGGGGAGGGGTGACTGCATATCAGCTCATAATTAGAGCAGAGTTGAAGTACTAAGTTTGTATTCTAGTGTTAAATTGGAAATGCTCAATGCAAATACATTCAGTTCAGAGTCAATTACCAATTCTAGACTCCAAGTTTAAAAACCCTCAAATCAATTTCAGCTGGTCTGCTTTGCCAAGATTAGCACACTGGATGGGCTGTCTTCTGAAAAACTGAATAAGTTATTCCTAACAAATTAGTTCATTCACAGTTCAGATTTAGTTCATGAACTGTGAGGAAAAAAGGAGAAAGAGGCGCGCCAACAAAGCCAGACAGAGGATGGATGATGATGATTATATTATTGATGAGTGTTTTCATTCCTCCGCTACGTGTGGAACGGTTTCATCAGTACCATCACCCACTAGACCTGTCCTAATCAAACTGTCCTCATTAGAAATCATCAGTACAGCCTGTCAAACATCACCGCAGCCATTTTAGCAGCACAACATAACAACAGGATGTGCATCTTAGCTGGTTTATTGTCTGAAGGCGTCTGGCCTTGTTCTACAGATGAGGTGTAAATACCCGGCTCTGTGTGATGCGATTGGTCTGGATGTGTGAGGTGAGTAAGGCAGAGGCCACAGCAGTGAGAAGGTGCTGCTGTACCCTGGCCCCTGCTCCACCTATGCCCTCCAAGATGGCTGCAGGGCCACAGGTGTCCATCACTGACAGGAACACTGCTGGATCCAACCGGGTCAGCCTTGAAAGAGCCTGGAGAAATAAAACAATGAATGAGTGTGCACCTGAAGAGGTAACGTACAGCGAGTCGTCTGATTCCTGTAAACGCAGCATGTTGCGTCCAAGTCTCTGGTGTTGGGTTAAAACTAAGACGAGGAGACGTGTAACAAATAACCAGCAACGTAATTCACTCCGCTCTGGTTTTAAAGTGACATCACACTCTGTGGTCTGATACAGCTGTCCTGATTCTGAAAGGTGGGTAGAGTTACACCGCCACATTAAAAAAACAGATTCTTTCCCATTTATTTTAATAATTGTGGGATTAACCAGAAGGTGACGGATTACTTTATCATAAGAGGGTCAGTAAACCAGTAAGTAATGTGTGTTCTTTCCTTCTTTTCTCACTAATTAGTGTTTGTTTTAGCTCCTTTACACAGGGGGGGGGGGGGGCGGGGGGTGGGGGGGGGTGGGGGGGGCATTGCCAGCCCTAGAAAATTTCTGTCCCCTCCACTGACCCCCCTTCAGGCTATTGTTATTTGCAACTGACCATTCATTCATCTTTTAGTTTATTTAGACATGAATGAACAACACAACAAAAATCATACAATTAACAGGTAAATAAATAATCAGAATTTAAAAATACGTATATTTGTCGCTGCTGCTCACCATTTCAAAACAAAAGTTTAAATCTTCATAGTTATTGTGGATTTTCTCCTAAAGAAAGCAACAAGCAAGCTAATGTGTTCAAACATTCTGAAATGTTCTCTAAATACCTGTTTGAAATGTCTTTCTCTACTTGAGGTAACTGTGTTGGATGCATTGCTTCTAGGGTTGTCACGGTAACCGGTGTAGCGGGAAACCCCGGTAAAAAAGTTGACAATAATAATAACTGTATTGTTTTTAAAAAACTATATTATCTCGGTGGGTTTACCGTGGCCGCGGTGTAGGCGTGGTGACCCTTACCAGCCACCGTATCATCTGCTGAAGTTGCCGGCAACACATGCGCACTTTGTTGTTTACAACCAAAACTTTCTTGAAGCTAAAGCTGAAATAATGACCAAAGGAGGAGACGGCAGCGCTCAGGACATTTATTATCCCTCAAAGAAGACAAAGTGGGAAGTATGGGCATTTTTTTGGATATTTGAAGAATGCCGAGGGACAGTTGATAGAAGACGGCTACCCTGTTTGCAGCACGTGCAGAAAAAGTGTCTGTGAAAGGCAGCAACGCTTCAAATCTCATGACACATCTGCGTGACCATCACCCACAACTCTACAGTCAACGCAAGGCAAGTTAACGTTAGCGTTTTAGCTAAAATGCGTGATCCGAGGATTTGGGTTGAGGGAGAATGCAACGAGTCACTATATAAAGCAGCCGCAGCGCCGCTACCTGCATATAAACCGTGTCGCGGACACCCCCATGTTGAAATGACGCTATGCATTACGGGGCTCCCAGGGGCAGATAAGAGTTGGTCTCTCTCCGAGAATAATTATGAATTTATGACATTTTCCCAAATCTGCAAAGCTCACTGGAAGGACACAAACTGAGGACAATATTTTCCTGATATAGGGATTATTACTCAAGTAAGGGTAAAAAAAGTATCTGATTAGAAGGCTACTTGAGTACTGAATATCGTCTGATCTAATATTTTAACAAGGATGACATCACACAGACAAAAAATAAGAAGTTATGGGCAAATACTGGTATTTTAAAGACTAAAGGGGAAAAATGTAAACAAATAAACAACATTATTACAAAATAACACATTTTAGGCAAAATTTAGACACAAACTGAGGACAATATTTTCCTGATATACAGGGTTTATTTAGTTGTCTGAAAATATAACACGTTTAAAAAAAATACCACGATAATACCGAAAACCGTGATAATTTTGGTCACAATAACCGTGAGGTTAAATTTTCACATCGTGACAACCCTAATTGTTTCTAATGAAAAAGAATAGAGGGGCATCTGACGCCTCACCACAGGCTAAACTCTCCCAGAGTCAGCATGAGTAGCCGCCCCACAAACTATTCTCTGCTCTGACAGATGGTCATGACACCCTTGAGTTTAAGTAAACATGTAAACTCACAGAGATTGCGGTGACTCTGACAGCCTCCACAGTGGAGTGAGTGAACAGGTACCAGAGGGCCGAGCCCATCTCTGTAGTGGCCAAATGTTGAGAGAGGCCAGAATCAGTCGCGAAGATGTTCTCGATGGTTTTCACAGCCATGTGATGAGAAACGGCGTCATCCTGTAAGACAAATATGCTGACTTTGCATTTTTCTAAAGGAAAACAGTAACAAAAATCTGTGTGACAACTTTTATGAGAATAATCTTTACAAAATAAAACACTAATGATGTTCATTTGCATTTTCAGTTAGGTGTGACTTAAAACGAACAATGACCCACTTTTCCTGGGCTGTTATTGACAAGTTACCAACCTGAAAATCAATTACTGGAAAACTGAACGGAGCAAAAGGCAGAAAATCACAAAGAACTAACGTAATCACGACGTGAAAATTAAATTAGCCAGGAACAGCATCTCAACAATAACTGGGCCTGCAAGTGTGCATGGATCAGCATGTATTAGTGTGTGTGTGTGTGTTTGTGTGTATATGCTTTATGTATGCTGCATGTACACACACACACACACACACACACACACACACACACACACACACACACACACACACACACACACACACACACACACACACACACCACAGTGTCTGCTCAGACAATGGGACCAAGCTAATGAATTCTCCATGGCTGAGGAAATTAGTTTTTCCAGAAAACTCATTGTGGATGGAGACAGGAAGTACAACAGAAGTGATTGCCTCCGTCGGTTTATTATTGTGTTTCACTGTGTTACATCACTGACACACAACTCTCCCTGGATACAAGACACAATAGAGACTATTTCAAAATAAAGTTAACTTTAGTCTAAAAATAAAAAGTGAGACAAGGCCAGGTCTCATGGTAATTCTGTAAACGTCACTCAGGTGACAGCGATGACCTTTTGCCATTCTTGTCAATCTAGAACAAACACCTGTGTTTAAGGGAACCTGAGAGGAAATCTCAACTGTAAATATTATAAAACCTTATTTTTTTTATAAGAAACTTTATGATTAAAACTTTGAAACTCTGTAGAGTTGTTCTAATCTGATCATTCGCCTACTGCAGCTGAAGAATGTTTGAATCCTTGTCTACCATAGAATAATATGGGGTGAGGTAAGGTTTAATGGGTCTCTCTGCTACATGGCTGGAATTTTCAAATATCTGACAAAACAGGACTAATATTTAAACTGGGTTTCATTAGTGAATGTTAAGCAACGTGAGGAAGGATGACAGAACATGTCCATGTAAGAATGTTAGGAATTTACTTATGTCTGTATGATGATCAAGAGTCCCATGCCCATTCCCAGACCAGAAACTGGGCTGGAGCTACCCGGTTCCCAGCTGCCAACCTTTATCCGTCCATAAAATGTTGCATTAAGAACAAAACTGACAGGCTGTCGATGAACCGCGAGCCACAGTAATACTGTTCTGGTTACCAGCTGCAGTTCTAGTTAGTGGTGGTGACTTTTAATGCCTAATTTTTACATCTCTGTCAGCTCCACGAGGGAGAGACGCACTGACAGAGACCTTTTAGTCTCAGACTTCTCCGTCTCCTGGCGAGTGTTGCAAAGCAATTCCCCGTCAGGACAACGGAGGGCGTAGCGCTGTGCTGTGGTGTCCTGTCACGTATCCGGTCCAACATGGTACATTAACTATTGTGTTTATATTGTGTTTTTTGTATTTCAGAGACTTTTTAACACGGACAATTTTGTCCCTCATTCTCCTCCACCTCTTCATGCGCTCACCACCTCTGAACCCACGTTTCCCATCATTTCAGTCAACGAATAAAACGCTTGCTGCATATCTTTTCACTTCTACAGTCATGGGAGAATAAAACATTCATGTTTCTAGAGTTTTTCCACGAGATGTTCTTCAAGCTGCTCCGTGTCTGCTGCTAGATATCTTCAGCTCTCTTTATGTTTTTGAGGGCGCAATGGCGGTGCTTGCATTCTCCATCTCATTTGACGGATGTTTAGAAAAGAGAGCTCGACTCCGTCTGTCCTAGCAAGCCTGTTGGAGAACCCTCAAAAGGACAAATAATAGTGTTGCGCACGTGCGTCCCCACGCAGACAGAGAAGTATAAATTAGTCTTAAGTCACACCCATCTACTTCCGGACCATGGGTCCCCAGTATAACGTCCAAAAGGGTCAATTTTCACCTTTATATTGACCAACATAATAACCTTTCATCTACAGAAATAAATCCACTTTCTGTTTGGCCTTCTAAACCCAGAAGTTTCTGCTCAGTGTGTGTTGACATTCCATGAAGACAAAACATTCAAACAAACATTCTCACCCAAGGTTCCTGCAATCACTTTATGAACGCCAGACGTCAACATTCTTCACTCTGCATAAGTGAAGACTCCACGATTTTATAGTTATAAGTTAAATAATCATATGTGATGAATGAACAAGATGTTTAAATGAAATGTTTGAATAATCTGTGCTTAAACCAATTAATTTGAAATGAATATTGTTCTTACAATTATCCATTTATATCACAAATCAGTATGTGTTTGATTTAACAAGTTAATCATTGTCTACACTTATATACATTACAATAAGAATCTTGAATCTGAAGGAAGGCGCGGCTTTCTGAGGGATGTTGGTAAATACTCAGAAACGTGTCAAATTCTGATTTGCCAGAATACGCCAGAAATCATAACAAAGTAGTTTAATAAAACAAGAATTACTTTCCGAGTAAATCAGTTTCCAGCTGAGCCCAAATCGGGAAAGAAGCCTCTTTTGAAACAAACTCATTTGACCTTAAGTCAAAACCTTTCTGCGACACTGTAGGTGATTACAGACACAACAGCTCTTTTCAGAGCTACTCCACACCTGATCTGCAGACCCCAGCTTGTAGAGCCCTGCACTGAAGCCCTAGGCCCTCGGGTCAGCCCGGCCCGACGGCCCGAGGGCCGGGCTTCGGGCCAACGACTGTGTAATTACCTCGGACACGGGCCGGGCCGGGCGCCTTTATTTTTATTCAAAATCATTAAAAAAATTAAAACACTTAAACGCAGCAGTAGAGCCCTGTGCGGGACTGTTTTCTTCATCCCGCTCCGCTCCCGCTGAAATTCTGACCATTACAGCCTGCAACCGCAATGTGTGTGTTACACTCCCGCCCGCACCTGCAGCGTGCATGTCCACTCCCGCCCGCAACTGCAAAACTCTGAGAAATTATTACCTCACAATAAAAGAGATGTATTGAGTTTGCGTCCTCAACATGTCATTTTATAGGTTATCCGCTTTCACCGCAGCGCTGCGCTCCGTTTCAATCAGGCTGTACAGCAGGATTTCCCCTCGTAGCGATATTTTCTCTAACTCTGATTGCTTCATGCTATAGATCGTTGGAAAGCTGCTTTTATGTACTTTTAGGAACCGTTGGAATTATTTGAATCTGATCAACCATTCAAAAGTTATAAAACGGAGCATTTTGGATGACAAACTCGCACGTCTCTGAATCTGTGTTGTGGTTTGTTGCGCTCAAGACAGGGAATCCCGGTGGCTACCGTAATGTATTGTATATGCACGGAAAGCCCCATTTTTAATCTTTTCAGCACTTTTGAAATTTTAATGATATCTTGAACTAGAGCAGGGATCGGCAACCCGCGGCTCTTCCATCTATCTGCGGCTCTCTGTGCTTGTAAAATAATGAATGGATATTTAAATAAAATGCTTTATATTTTACTGAATTAATTTTATATCTGTAAGTCAATTCTATGTGAAGATTGTCTGCGTAAACCTGAACAGTTCCAACCCAGTCTTACTGTGAGACCGGGTTGGGTCACGCTTGTGTGTAATCATAGGCGCTCATGAGCTGAAGAGGATGTCAGATTCTGGGATTCTCCTCAGACGGCTCCTGGATGTGTAGCACATTGGAGACAGGAACAAGCGCTATTCAGCCAAAGTTTCATAATCAGGGAACATTTTCTAAGTGACAAGTCTCTCTGAGAGACAGGGTTTGGAAAACACTCGCTTCAGTGGGAGGAAGCTTCCCGCATGCGCTTCTGCGACGCTCGGATCCTGCACATCTTTTAACACATTGGTCAGGATTGACACACTTTGTTTTCATTTAGTTGGTTAAAAAAAGTCGGGCTTGGGCTCGGGCCGGGCCAGAGAATCCTGAAAACCTTTTCGGGCTGGGTCGGGCTGGGGCTCCACCCCCTCGGGCCGGGCCGGACACGGGCTCAGATTTTAGGCCCGTGCAGGGCTCTACCGGCTTGCATCTCATGGCCGGGGAAGCTGAACTCAGAGGAAGCTAGTACTAATCTCTGAGTATCGTGGTTTCGACGTCCGGTGACCTCACCACACTGACAGCAACCCTCCGGACCGAAGGGTATCGTAAGCCTGCATACTGGTGTCTGATGAGGTTTATAAATAAACAACTCTAGTTTAAAACAAACAACAAATTCTTTTACAACCAGATTTCACAATTTCTCTCAGATAAAAAGAACGGTTGCTACAACATCCACCACATCACATCTCATTATTTATATTTTGTCATGTATCATTAGTTTAGGAAAAATAATTAAATTCATTTTTTAACTCACAGAGTACAGACGCTTCTGCTTTCGCTCCCTTATCTTTTTTCACAAGGCTCTTTGTCCTGTCTGCCTACAGAGCGCTTCTCTGCATTTCTTCTGGAAATCCCTATTTTTTAGAAATGGATTTAATTAATTGGTCATTCAACACGATTGATAAGATCTTTTCTACGATGAGAACAGAGGAGGGGGCTCCCACTTGCCCTCAAGGGACACACGCAACGGGATATGCGCTCGATTACTGGAAGGTCTGGAGGATCGTATGCCTCTCTCGGTTGTCCATTGAGGATGTCGAAGACATGTGGAAATTTGGCTTGATGATCACTGGATTTCTTCTGATCGGAGTGGGAGGATATCTGTTTCTCTGGAAATTTGGGAAGTCGGGAGCGATTGGAGTGCGACCCGCACCCACGGAAAGCACCGCCCGGGCGGTGACCTCACAGACTAGGACGTTACTCGAGGTGAATCGTAAGCTGGACAATGTCCTTGCTGCGTTACCGGTATTAGTGCGCAAAATGAATGTCATCTCGGAGAGGGTCACTGGATGGTGTGGAGATGTTTAAAACCTGAATTGGCTTCACTGGAGGACT